GGTGTGAGAGTGAGTGTGAGTGTGTTGGTGTGTGTGTGTGTTCACTCGTGTGAAGTGTGTGAGATGAGCGTGAGTGTGTGAGTGAGTGTGAGTGTGTTCACTCGTGTGTGAGTGAGTGTGAGTGTGTTGGTGTGTGGGTGTTCAGTCGTGTGAAGTGTGTGAGATGAGCGTGAGTGTGTTAGTGAGTGTGAGTGTGTTGGTGTGTGTGTGTTCAGTGTTAATATATTGTAATAGGAGGCATTCCTGTAGCTCAAATAGTAGATCATGGCACTCGCAACGTCAAGGTCATGAGTTCGATTCACAGGGATTGCGTGGGAAAATCTGAGGAAAACTAAAGCTTGAATGCAAATCGCGTTGGATAAGCACCTCAGCCGAATGCATGAATGCAAATTTCAAACATTGATTATTAATGTCATCAAATGTTGTTGTAAATTCTCCATATTTTGTATGCATGAATATGTTTAATGATAAGCAATATTTTGTATGTATAAAAATATTTAAACGTTATTCATATTGAAAAATGAAATTTGTATTAAAAACGGCAGTTATTTGATGTTTCCATTTCGATTCTTCTTCCCTAAATTCAAATTTGATTTAAATCTACAAACTGTTACTTCAAATCAGTTTGAGGAAATGAGTTCAGTTCTGAATGATGCTCATCCTGAATATGAATATGATTTAATGTGGTAATATCTCACATGTTCGTGTCCTGAAGCATCACATCAAACTTCAGATTCATTTCATCATCTGCATGGATCGCATCATCACCCTCCGAATAAAGAGATGCATTGGATGAAAACCTGCGTGAAGATGCTTCATGATGCATTATGAAGCGGTTGCCATGGAGACGTGGTCCTCTGAACAGCCAGTGAGCATTCTGAAGCAAATCTGAGATGACAGGCTGGATATTTGCTCACGCTCCTCCGGGCCTGACGGATCCGCGTCTCTATTTGTCTTTCAGCACACAGACCTGCTGAATCCACCCGCAGAAACAACTGCAT